TGGTCTCGAACTCATAGAGATCTGCCTGCCTCTGCCTCCTCAGTGCTGGGATTAAAGGTGTGTGCCACCACTGTCCGGCTTCTTTATAACCTGCTGGAACTTCGTTGTGTATATGTAACACATTCTCATTGCCCACTCTTTTTTTTTTTTTTTAACCTCCTGTGACCTGTGCAGCAACAAGCCTGAATGTGCACGGATCTGTGTGGCACTTAGAATCCTTTGGGTATAAACCCAGGAGTTTGATTTTATTTTCAAAACTCAGTCCTATGATAGTTCCATTTTTAAAATGCACTATATTTTCTAAAAGACGTAGATTTAAAAGGGAAGAGACAGGCTCAAATAAATAAAAGAAAATCATACTTTTTAAAAAGCCAGGATAGGGACTGGAGAGATGACTCAGAGGTTAAGAACATTGACTTCTCTTCCAAAAGTCCTGAGTTCAATTCCCAGCAACCACATGGTGGCTCACCACCATCTATAATAGGATCTGGTGCCCTCTTCTGGCATGCAGGCAGAACACTGTATATATACATGATTAACAAAAAAAACCTTTTAAAAAAAAGCAAGGATAATAATTGTGTCACACTCTGGGCAGTGGTGGTTCACACACCTTTAATCCCAGCACTCGGGAGGCAGAGGCAGGCAGATCTCTGTGAATTAGAGGCCAGCCTGGTCTACACAGTTAGTTCCAGGAAAGCCAGGGTTACATAGAGAACCCTGTCTTGAAAAACCAAAAAAAAAAAAAAAATGTGTCATACAAAATAGGACCATAGGAGAAAAAGACAGGACATAGAGATAAACAACTTTATCTCAAGAAGACACGGTATCTGAACTCATATCATATTTAATAAGTAGGCACAAAGCAATCAGGCAGTGAGAATAACATTAACATATAAACTTAAATCTAGGCTGAATAGGAGAGAAAACAGGAAACATTTATTTTTCTTAAGTTTGGCTTACTTAACATGATGGTCTCTGGTTCTGTCCATTTTCTTAAAAATGTCATCATTTCGTTTTTCTTTACAGCTGAATGAAGTCACCCACTATGTACCACATCTTCTCTACCTACTAAGTGCTGGTGGACTCTGGTCTCAGAGTAATTTTTGCAAAACTGCAGCAGTAGCCAGGGAATGCGTGCATCTTTCTGCTGTTGCTGTAGCAACGGTATGCCTCTGGTACACACCCAGGATGTGTGTGATGTAGCTGGACCACGTGGTGGCTCCATTTTTATTCATGCTTTAACCAATCACTTTATACACTGTTACGGGATTTCCTGCCTGGTCCTGTGGCCGCCTTGCCCCAAATGAACACATGGACAATATATTATTATAAACTGCTGGCCAGTAGCTTGGGCTTCTTATTTGCTAGCTCTGTCTTAATTATTAACCCATTTCTATTAATCTAAGTATTTCCATGTGGTTTTATCTTACCGAAGAAGGGTCCGGACCTCTTAACCCTTCCTCTGCTGCATGGTGACTGCTGTCTGCCTACACTTCCCAGAATTCTCCTCCTCTGATAGCCCCGCCTATCCTTCCTGCCTGGCTACTAGCCACACAGTGTTTTATTCATCAGAGAAACATATACACAGAAGGACAACCACATCAATACACACGCTTGGAAGGTATATCCATCTGAGAAAGACCAACATTGAATATTATGTAATACAATTTCATGTTGGACTACAATGTTATAAAAAGAATAAATTTGAGGAGGGGGATGGAGGTGGACTTGGGAAGTTATTATGGAAATTGCGTGTCCGGGACTGTGGGTGTAGTTTGGTGGTGGAATGTCGGAGTCATGTGAGAATTCTAAGTGCTTCTGAGAAAACTCCAAGAAAACAAGAGTTTTTCTGTAACCTCGGTTTCTTCAAAACACAGAATGGTACCTGGAATGTGTTTTTTGTGCCCCTCCCAGGTGTAGCAGTTAGGAGGGAGTCTGTATCGGCTGTTATTATTCATGTGCCTCAAAAACACGTTTTTGACACGTGTGGCTTGTCTTTGTGATTGTATACTCTGCTTAAGGGACTCCTCTTAACCCTCAGAGCATAAATTGCCTGGTGTTCTATTGCATGAGACTTCAGTCCACCTCGTTCTCCCAGGTTCACACCAACAACTAGGGAGGTAAAGAGTAGAATGCTTACATAGCTGTAAAAGGCCACAGCCTCGATATACAGTACTTCACAAATAAGTCAATGGATTAGTCAGTAGATAAGGTAGGCAAATGAGAAGGGGTAAGTGAACACCTCTGGCTGAGAGACCCGCGAGTGTAGACGTCTGATGATGCGAAAGCTCTGGCCGTGACTGAGGAAAGCAGGTGTGGATGCAGCAGAGAAACCACCAGAAGGGAAAGTTAAGTGTGCAAATGACAGAGGCAGCCAGAAGTCAGAGCACATAGATCCCCTTTCAGATCCCCTTTATGCGGTGTAGAAAGGTTAACGGAAATATAACACATGTATCCTGACATCTTAGAAAATGTCCCATGTTGGGAGACACCTGTGTAGGAGAGACGCAATCACCCTGCCCCCGTGCCCAGGACAGCCCTCATGAGCATGCTCATGCGCTTCCTCCCTGAGCCAAGCCACCAAGTCTGCCCACAGACACCTGACCCAGAGACACCAGTGAGGAAAGGACAGCGCAGTGGAGTGAGCCGCCTGAGCCAATGGGACCTCGGGAGGGGGTACAAAGGCAGGTCTAACTTCCTTAGTAAACCAGTCTGCAGCATGCTGTGCTACTCACTGACTCCCCGTGCCTGAGTGGTTGGTGCTGCGTCTTCTCACCCCTCCCCCAAGGGGTGTCCGAGCAGGGTCACCTGCAACACACCTGGAGGAAGATTTACTGTGTGTTTGTGGCATTATTGTTGGTCTCTCCTCAGGACACATCAAATAAGGCCCTGCATGTGTGAATTGCCCATTGTCAGATGCTTGGTAAGAGGTTTGCCTGTGCGCCCTCTGTCGGTCCAGCTCTTTAGCTCCCAGGCCAAATGATACTTCAGGAGGCTCTTCCTTCATCCATCCCATTCCAACCCCGTGAGTGTCCTGATCAGCGACCTGCCAGATCAAGGCATTCTGGTTATTTGAAGTAATTTCTGCTGCCATTACAACCCTCTCTCTAGCTTGATGCTTGTGGTTGGGCGCTGCTGTCTGGCCACACCATCTCATCCTACATACTGTAATCAGTCACCTCCCCAGCGGCAGAGCTCACTGTGAGTCTCTCCACCGCCACAGAGCCTGTCCGGGCTGCTGGCACCGAACACCGAGAGTATTTCATCACATCTAGTGCACAGATGCCTCCTTAAGCTCCCTGAAAGACCTAGTTGGCGGAGGGGGGGGGGACTCACACAAATGAGCTTCACATTCCCCCATGTCTATGCCAAGAATATTCCAACATGTCAGTTTGATGGAATGCTGAACTCAAAGTTCAGTCATCCAACGGAGGAAAATGCCAGGGCCTCTTCGGCTATGCTGCACTCATGCGTGGAATCTAAAATTACTCTTAAATGATCCGTATGGGCACATATGGATAATCTGATTTTTCACTCACTTCCTCCCTGGAGTAGCACTCTTAAATTCATTGACGACATGTTCCTTGGTTTTTGCTTTTTTTTTTTTTAAATTCTCTCTATATATACTTGAAAAATATGGAAATTCTTTCAAAAGATAAGCCATATGCTCCTGGGCTAAACTTAGCATTGATCCCCTCGGAGCATGTTGAGATCTGACTCTAGTTAGGAGTCTGGAGTGGTCCATGCGGCCAGAAGGGACTGAAAAAGACAGGCATCTTCTTCACACAGACCTGACCTCCTCATCAATCCAGAGGCCTTGGATCCACAAGCAAGCCAAGTTTAGGAGAGTAGATTTGGAACTGATTGGATGCAATCATGTACATTTTAGCACATACGTAGAGACTTGATTGCAATAAAAGACACGATGAAATAGTCATGTTTTTGGAGGTATATGTAGAGTCAGCGTGAAAGTGGCAGCTATAAATGTGTTCACACAAGACTGGGCATGTTCAAGGTGGTGTGGCCACGGAATACAAACACATTCAGATGTAGCGTAGTCCCAGGGATGCAAATTACAAGAGTGGTCATGCCAAGAATAAAGTAATTTGCCAAAGTGGTGAGAAACTTTTGATAATATTCAAACAAAATAATATATTGTTTTTCTCACAGAACAGTGCGGTCTTGAAATTTTATTGTGCACTAAACAGTCAAGCAATGGTAAATACTTTTATCTACATGAATACATCCAGAAATTGAAAAGTCACGTAGGAAAAGAGGTGATTATCAATTTATGGTTGTGTACTATATATTGCAAAAATGGCCCTCCACAGAATCCCAAAAACACCAATAAGAGATGGCAACACCATTGTCATGAAGACTAACCAGCCAGAGGGTCTTCCCCCAGAACATGGCATGAAGATTTCCAATTTCATCACGAGTGACACTGGAAGCCAGGTGGGCTTTTGTGGTTGCTTGTTTCTTTGTTTGTCTGTTTTGTAGGTACTCAATATGTAGCATAGGCTGGCCTTGGACTCACGATTCTGCTGCCTTGGCCTACTTACTACAGAGATGGCAGGCACGTGCCCTGGGCCCAGCTTACCTGGGGATTTCTGTGTGGAGAGCAGACTGTGGGGCCGGCAAGAGTGGCAGTGGAGCGCCCAGATTAGATTAGAGGGTCCTGGTATTCCAGAGAGCTGTGCCATTGTAGCTACTCTACCGAGAGAACTCAAGGAATGGGAAAATTAAAATGAGTAAATTAAATAATAGTAATACATTTAATAATAAACTAAAATTCTTGGTTTTTAGGGTTCAGCCCAATGTTGCTTGAGCAGAATATGGCGGTGGTTCTGCACCTAACGGTGGACAAAAAAAAAAAAAAACCAAACCAAAACAAACAAACAAACAAAAGAGAAACTGCATTCAGGAAAGAGCCAGGGCAAAGTAGAGTTATCACCCCCCCCCCCAAGGACGAGACCCACAAAGAGCTGCTTTTCCTCCAACCAAGCCCCGCCTCCCGCCCTGCACCACCTCCCAACAATGCCATCGTATTGTGAATCCACCCAGGGAAGGATCATCACAGACACCCTCCAAGAGTCCTTAGGTCATTTCCTGATGTTTCTGGATCAAATAGGTTTAGAGAAACCATCACAGAGGTGACCGTGGCGTGGGTGAAGGTAGCGGTCGTACACAGGCGGGCCGCAGAGGTGGCGCTTGCTGAGAACTGATCCCCGAATGAGGAAGAGAGCAAGGACCGTGCTGCGGTCCAGCCGCAGCAGCCCTGAGAGGTGATGCTGTTACAAGCGGGGGAAACATGAGTGGGGCCGAGGGTCCTGCCATCAGGCTGGAAGTGGCCTGCTAGGTACTCGTGTGGAGGCTGAAGAGGCAGTGGAGACCCAAGGCTGGGGCGGGTGGGCAGATCAGGGCTGGAGTTAAATCAGAGAATAACGGAACTGAGTGGATTTCATTGAGAATGGCTGTAGGGAGGAGGAGAGGCTGGGGGGAGCCACGTGGAGGGAAGGCGCCACAACAGGAGAGTCGGGTCCTTTGTTCTCTATTTCTGATCAGAAAGCAACAACAACGATAATAACTGGTGTGAAGCTCTATTTTCTCGGTAGTGCCAGGAAGTGAGCCGCGGGCCTTGGGCTTGCTCAGCGAGTGTTCCGCCACGGAGCTATGCTCTCAAACTCCATGCTAATAACATTTAATATTAGTAATTACTCTGTGCTTGCTTTGTTAATGAAGAATAAACTCTAAGCAGAGCAGAATGTATCCGACTAGACGTTCAGGCCGACTAGAGGTGTGCAGGGCCAGACAGGCTACATAATTCTAAGCGAGGATTGATACCACTGAACTGTTCATTTTGAAGTGTCATTTTATGTCACGTGAATTTTAACAAGAACTAAAAGGACAACCAGAAAACCAAGGCAACAAGGGCTGGAAGGGTGGCTCAGTGGTTAGGAGCCCTAGCTGCTCTTCTAGAGGCTCCTGCTTCAATTCCCAGCACCTACGTGGCTTCTGTAACTCCAGTTCTAGGAGATCTTGATGAATTCTTTTGGGCTCCGTAGTACCAGGCACATGTGTGTGCACACACATATATTGGGGCAAAGTGCCATACACATCAAGGAAAAAACAGAACAAAACCACAAGGTCACTCAACTGTGACGTCAGTGATGTAGGAAGAGATCAGTGAGGCTCACCAGGGTGTCTCTGGTGCTGTGGAATAATTCGCGTGCGTTTCTGCAAATGGCTGGGAGACGTAAACAGGAAAGGGAAATCTGTACATTTTCTACAACAGAAGAAAATGAAGGAAAATATAGTGAGGATTTTCTTAAACCAGACTCTAAAAGTCAGACCATAAAGAAACCTAACAGGGGTTTGGCCATGCCAAAACGGAATCATTTCTGTTTAGCAGTAGACAGCATTTCGAATTAAGAGATAAATAGCAGGGCTGGGGCCATGGCTCGATGGCAGAGCACTTGCCTAGTGTGCGTGGAGCCCTGGGTTCAGTCTCCAGCAGTGTCTAGACAAACACGTAACTTCTTTTGCTTTTGTAATGAATCCCCACAATCTCATAGCTCAAAAACAACACAAACACTTTCTATTCTTGCAATTCTGGAAAGAGGGTCCACTGAGCTAAAATCCAACATTTCCCTAATCAACTATCAATACCACCAATGGAATCACTAACCTAGTCTTTAAATGGTGTGCATTTCTATGTATTTCCTGCAGTAGAGTGCACGGTATGTTTTTATAGAGAAGATAAAAAGGACATCACACAGTTACCTCCTTTATATATTCGTTTAATATTAAAACAGAAAGTAATTGCTGTGTGTGGTGGCCCATACTTGTAATCCCAGGACTTAGAGGATGGGAGCAGAACGCAGGAGCACCAGGTACTCAGCAGTTCAGAGTCAGCTTACCCTGTGAGTTTGAGACCTGCCTGGGCTGCCTAAGACTGACGAGGAGGGAGAGAGAGAGAGAGAGAGAGAGAGAGAGAGAGAGAGAGAAAGAGAGAGAGAGATTGAGAGAGAGAGAGAGATTGAGAGACCAGTTTCTGAGAATGTGTGAGGGAATGGAATTTCGAGCACAGATGGAAGAATTGAAATCATATCAGAGGAGAAAGCCCCCTTACATTTTTAAAACAGAAAGAACGGGTGCAGGCATAAACGTGTGTTCACTTACTAAGTTCTATTTTCTCTGGAAGGGGAAGAGAAATGAGGTGTAAGGGTCTGCACCGAGTCCCGAGGAAAGTGGAGAGTGTGTGGAGGGGAGAGAGGTGGGGTGGCGAGGATGTGGGGACACATTTTCTGTGAACTAGTGGGCCGCTTTGGAATCTGGTGACCATGCTATGTTGCATGTGAGACTGGGCTTTGGTGGCCGTGTCAGCCTGTCTGGTTGTCCTCTTGTTTTCTTGGGTGAAGACAGCTGCCACAGCCTGAGCCACCTTAAGGAGAGGGTGGGGAGCTGAAGCTCTTGGTGATGGTCTTGCAAGTGAGCCTCCAGCCCAAGTCGTCCTTCAGATGACAGAACGACAGAACGCTAGTTCGATTCTCCTTTTCCATGGCTTGCGACTCTCTGAGTACACCAGCTTAAACACCGCTGAACTAGCCTCCAGAAACAGGAAGATTATACATGCCCATTGTAAGCTGTTACACTTGGAGCAATTTGTTAGGCATTGATGGGAAAATAACTCTAAGAGTTTTGGTCATTTATGCAAAACCACAAAGCTAGTTAGCAGCCGATTTGAAGTGGGAGCAGAGAGCTCCTAACTCTCAAGCTAACGTTCTGTTAAAACACACTGTCCCTAGTGTGTCTTGTGCTTTGTTTCACTGGATGTACTGGTTAGTTTTGTGTGTCAACTTGACACAAGCTAGAGTCATCATAGAGGAAGGCGCCTCAGCTGAGGAAATGCCTCCTTGAGATCCCACTGTAAGGCATTTTTCTCAACTAGTGATCAATGGAGGAGGGCCCAGCTCGTGGTGTGTGTCGCCATCCCTGAGCTGGTGGTCCTGGGTTCTATAAGAAAGCAGACTTAGCAAGCCAGTAAGCAGCACCCCTCCATGGCTTCTGCCTCTGGGATCCTGCCCTGTTTGAGTTCCTGTGCTGACTGCCTTCAGTGATAAACAGCAGTGCTGAAATGTAAGTCAGACAAACCCTTTCCTCCCCAGTTTACTCTTTGGTCATGGTGTTTTGTAGAAGAAATAGAAACCCTAGCTAAGACCCTAGAGGTAGGGACAGAGTTGGTGATGATTCACATCGGTTGCCAACCACACAATCTAGAATCACTTGGAAAGAGTCTCGGTGAGTGATTGTCTGGATAGGACTGTGAGCGTGTCTGTTGGGATGATCTTGATTACACTAATTGATGTGGGAACACCTGCCCACAGCGGGCAGCACCATTTCCTAGGCAGGGGATCCTATATTGTCTAAGTGTAGAGAGTGGGCACACATTCATTCTTTCTCCGTTCTTGGCTGCGGCTGTGACTAGATGTTTCAAGCTCCTGCTGTGCTGGCTTCCCCCCTGCAATGGACTGTGAACCTGGAGCTGTGTAAAAACTAAATCCTTTCTTCCCTATGTTTTCTGTCAAATGCTGTCCTACAGCAACAGAAAAAGCAAACAAACAAAACCAATTCTCCATCCCCTGTAGAAGACTCCATTTTCCCTGAGGGACCTATTCATGCCAAACCCAAACTGAGATTTTGTGGCCTGGATGAATTTCAGGGCAAGCCAATATGAAGCGTTATTAAGAGATAACTGGGCTGGAGAGATGGCTCAGAGGTTAAGAGCACTGGCTGCTCTTCTAGAGGTCCTGAGTTCAATTCCCAGCAACCACATGGTGGCTTAAAACCATTCATAATGAGATCTGGTGTCCTCTTCTGGATGGAGGCAGAATATTGTATACATAATAAATAAATAAAATCTTTTAAAAAAAGAGATAATTCTTCATAACACAGATCCGAAGCACACAGGTTAATAGAAACAGGTTAAGGATGAGGCATGTGCAGGTATGGGCGTCTCAAGGGGTCACTCTTAGGTTTCAGATCCCCTGAGGCTGGAATGACAGATGGCTGTGACATCTCTGTGGTTGCCACAAGGCTTCCCTCCCTATTTTAACATTGCTCTAAGAGTACTGTTTATAACAAGGTTAAAAGTGAAAGAATTTTTCTGTAAAGAAAAAGTTATAAGGCAGATTTTGGGTAGTTGTGGTGTTGTTTAGATTTAGGAATGAGAGAAGAATGCTAGAAACCCATACATGCATTATTTAGGCAGGAGGTAAATGCGGCTTATTTAGTGTTGTTTTTTTCTTTCATTTTTTTCTGTGGGTTTTTTTTTTTTTTTTTTTTTTTTTGAGTCAAGAGTTTTCTGTGTACCCCTGGCTGTCCTGGAACTCATTCTGTAGACCAGGCTGGCCTTTAACTCAGGGATCCATCTCCCTCTGCCTCCTGAGTGCTGGGACTAAAGGCCTACGCCACCACTGTCCAGTTTATTTAGTGTTTTTGACAACTGGAAAATAGATATTGCCTCTGTGGCAATTTGGTCTTTATCAATGGTATCTGAAGTTTCCTGCCTTCCTCAGAAGAAAGGGCAGCTCAGAGCCTGGAAAGAAGGGCCATGCTGCCACCCCTATGGCTTCCTCTCCCTCACTTGGACTACACATCTGTGGTCAACAGAGCTGAGGAAATGGTTCATGGGTGAAGAAAAGTAAAACCTGTGCCATGCTTCCTCCAGGAGTGCTCAGCAGCATAAACATTTTCTGTGTCCCCAGTACACACGTAATGGTCACACATAAGCATTTCTGAAGGACGCTTATGGCTTTGGGGCTCTGGAAGGATCGGGACTAAGTGTGCAATCTCTCAGTGGGAAGCCAGAAAAGCATTTCTCCTTGGCTTTTTCCCCACAGCAGGGGTGGGCTCACGTCATGTACCTGGGTATTAGTTTTGCCTTTTAAATTCTCCGGTTAAATCTGGCCTTCCTGGGCAGTGAATCAATGACAGGATCTGGTGTCTGCATTTCTGCCTGTGACCTCTAAATGCAGTGTTCAGAGAAGGGCAGGCTGCCAAAAAGGCACTTTGTGGCTTCTGTCCCTATGCCACAGCATCTGCAATTTGTGTGCAGACGATCGTTATATCAGGAAAGGTCTCCAGTCTCTGTGACCCTTTGACTTCTAGTTTGGATCTCAGGTTTAAAAATAAAAATGCAATTATACCACTTTAGTTTTCCCTGCCTTAAAAATATAACTAGAACCAAACTACCTTTAAAATGCTTATCTTTGACCAGGTGGTAGTGGCACAGGCCGTTAGTCCCAGCACTCTAGAGGCGGAGGCTGGAGGATCTCTGTGAGTTCAAGGCCAGTCTGGTCTATAGAGTGAGTACCTGGACAGCCAGGGCTACACAAAGACACTGGTTTCAAAAACCAAAACCAACAAAGAGAATACTTGTCTTTGTGCCCACAGAGGAGTGCAGCTCTCAGCCCCAACAGAGACGTTTCTTTCTGAGGTGGACAATGAGTAATGCAGAGACTCACAAGAGGCCCAAGTTCAGAGAGTGACTGTGGAGGTGCTTAACCCTAATGGGAGATCCATATCACACAGCCCTGTAAGGTTAAAGGAACACTGAAGAGAGCAGAGTGGAAAGATACTGAGCTAGAGGTTGGGGAAGACTTCACAAGTCTTCAGGATGCAATAGGGCCTTTGTATTCGTGAATTCACATTGAGAGGTCAAACTAGTCAACAGGTGAGGGAGTTGCTCCCCAGGAACTACTAGCCCCTGATGGTTACTGGGAGAGGAGGAGTTTTTTCTTCAGCAGGGTAGTCCCTGGCAGGTTGCCAGTTGGTGACTCTACACTCATGTTCATAGAGGATGTGCTCTTTGGACTTGGGGAGTATGGTAGTTTGCATGAGAAACGTTCCCCATGGTCTCAGCCATTTGAATGCTGGTGGCACGTGTGGGGCTGCTTCAGGCCGTGAAACCTGGCTGGAGGAGGAATGTCACTGGGGTGGGCTTTGGGATTAAAAGCCTTCGACACTTGTGGTTTTCTTTGCTTTGTGCTGTGGTTGAGGGTGTGAGGTCTCGGCGTCCAATTCCAGCCGCCATGCCTGCCTGCTGCCATGCCTCTCCACCGTGTGGACTCTTAGTCTTCTGGAACCCAACAGTCCCAATCCCTTCCTTCTGTAAAAATGCCCTGATCTCGGTGTTCTATCACGACAACGGGAAAGTAACTAATGATGTGGGCTGTTGTTTAAAAAGTGCTTCAGAAGCTGGGAAATGGGGGTGGCGGAGGGCCCTGGCGCAGCTGGAAGGGGGCAGTGGGTGGACGAATGCAATCAAATTACCTTGTATATTCGGATGCAGTTCTTGAAGAATAAAAATGTTACTTGAAAAGAGAACGTGACTAGGAAAGTAGCACAAGCAGTCTGGGTTTCAGTGGAATATGTTTTAAAAATAAATTTCAAGAAGTGTATGTAAGACTCTGGCGACATCCAGTCTCACAGAGTTCACATGTGTCCAATTACCGCTCATTACGGTCAGTAAGCTAATGTGCTGTCATGCAGTCTCAGCTATAGGAGAGTCTCAAATGTTTTCCTGTTTTAATTTTTTCTCTCACTAGGCTTGGAAAAAATAAAACAAAACTTGTCATCCTTCCCTGAAATCACTTATAGTCTTGAGAGTCGTAGACAGACAGTTTTTACTCCCTTGACATTAAACTCTTTCCTGGCTAGAATCTTGCTAATTAAGCGTGGGCTGAGCTTACTTGAGATAAAAATGTCATTTCTTGTTTCATTGTGAACAAGTTACTGACAAGTATGTAGTTGAGCTATTGAATTACAAAAGCACAAACATAGTTTCACATCTGCAGCAAGCAAGAGAGATACAACCATGTGCCCTCTTTATTTTTTGGTTTTTCAAGACAGTATTTCTCTGTGTAGCCCTGGCTGTTCTGGAACTCACTCTGTAGACCATGTTGTTCTAAAACTCAGAGATCTGCCTGCCTTTGCTTCCAGAATTCTGGGATTAAAGGCATGTACCTCCATTGCCCTTCGTGCCTTCAATTAAAAAAAAAAAAAAGATTTTATTTTAAGTGTATGAGTGTGTTGCCTGAATGTATGTCTGTGTACCTAGTGCCCAAGGAAGCTAGAAGAGGGCATCAGACCAGCTGCCAGAGGGTGCTAGGAACTGAACCCATATCCTCTGCAAGAGCAGCAAGTGCTCTTAACCACTGAGCCATCTCTCCATCCAGCCTATGCCCTCCTGCTGATGGTATTAACCGCTCTAGTTGTCTCAAAAAAACTCAGATGTTGCTAAGCAAACTTGGGCATGTGAAATCTTTTTAAAACTAACCCTATAAGTGTTTTTTTTTTTTGCAAGAATTTGTTCATTTATCCATTCAATGACATTTGTTGAGTAACCTATTGCTGGGGGCATGGAGAGTCACAGTAATGGGGAGAAACGCACAGGAATGTCATATACCGTGTTAAACTATAATGCAATTCCATGAAGGAAAATATAGCCGAACATAGGATGGAGAATGTCAGGCCTGAAAGAGGAGGTCTGGCACCATCCATGGAGCAGAGGCATTCTAGAGGCAGGGGCTCCTAGGAACTGACCGGCTATATGAGCTGGGGTAGCTATGGAGAAAGTTGGCCTCAGAGAAAATACCATGATGATTTTAGAATGAAGCCTTGCTCGGGGCAATACATGTAAGCATGTCCATCAGCATAGCATTCACAGGGGTCAGAGAAAGGCACTGGGCGACCCACTCCACTGCTCTCTACTCTATTTCCTTGAGACAGGAGTCTTTCACTGACCTAAGGGCTCACCTATCCTGGCTGGACTGACCATCAAGTCCCGGGATCTGCCTGTCTCAGTGACCCACAGTGTTGGAGTCATGGGCTCACCATGCGTGTGCCACATCCAGCTATTAACATGTAAGTGATAGAGAGGGAACGTGGGTCTTCATGCTCTCACTCACTGAGCCTTCCTTGCAGCCCCTGGAGTGAGTTCTTGACCTGTCCAGGCTACAGTGAGACCGTACCTCAAAAGTCCAAAGGAAGAGTGAGAGATGGTTCCTCTGCTGGTGACTGGTTTTAAGAGGCTAGAGACAAGGACGTGTGAAGTTTTATTCTGGCAACTGAGCCTTTGTGAATTCTTTATCCTTTTGAAGGTAAGATGACAGCTCTTCCAAAAATTGAATCTGAAATAAATATGCACAATACAGTATACAGATGCATACCCAGTTTTATGTTCCCCACATGTTACATTCATCTGCACACAAATTCAAGGGCATATACATGCATACACATGCCCTTCATATACCTACATGTATACCTTCACAGACACACATATACAGATACATACATATACACACAAGGTTATATACACACATGCAACCATACATTCACACATATATGACACATGCATGCATATACATAACCATGCATATATGCACACGTGTAATGCAGAATGCATACACACAAATACATACAAGTATATACTTGTATAAACATATATAGAAACAATAACATACATGCACACACACATACATATACACATATTGACACAAATACACATGAACACAAACATCCTGACATAACCAATATACATATGCCACATCTATACACACATGCAAACACAGTAATGCATAACACATGTGCACACACAGAAACCCATGCACTCACAAACATGTACACACACATGTACACACATGAACTCATATGCGAACACATACATAGACATATATATGCACACAATAAACACACATTTATACATACAAGTATAAATATATAAACACACATACATACACTGGGATTACAGGTTTTTCTAAAAAAAAAAACCTTTAGAAATCAAATGTATTTAATGGGGGCAGGGGATGGCACACACATGCCAGGTTGCGCACATGGAAACCTGAGGACAACTGTCAGGCTTTGTAGTAGGTGCACCTACCCATGGAGCCATCCCTTTGACACTCAGTCTTTCTTAATACAATGACTGACACACAATAGCTTTCTTTTAGAAATGACATCTGTAATCAGCACTATAGTATTAGGTGTCGTTATGGAGTTTTTCAAAATTTGTTTCTGTTGATTCTCTGCTTCCCTCTTCTCTTCCATCCCCCAGACCTCTCGTACCCTTCCCTCCCAGCATGGCTTCTTTGCTACTTTTGACAAGTTTGTGTGTGTGTGTGTGTGTGTGTGTGTGTGTGTGTGTATGTTTGTGCATGAGTGAGCAAGTGCACACGTGTGCATTCGTGTGTGTTTTACCAGTATGCATCAGTTGTACAAAGCAATGGGTCTCATTATGATATTTTCCCACAGGCCACATGGTAGTTGGCTGCCTCTGTTTCCTGGCACCTGCAGGTGGCAGTCTGATCCAATAAGTTCATGGGAGCTGAAAGGCAAACTCTAGTTTAATGTGCTATGCAAGTAACACACCTAAGACCGTTCAATACACATACATGGGGTTTTCACAAAAGAAAGATACATTCTGAAGGTGCACCAAACAATGTAATTTCCATCTGACCTACCATCAAACAAATTCAGATCCACATGTGCTCCAAACTTTAGCAAGCCACAGTGCTTTTTATCTTTCTCTGACTTTTTAAAGATGGTGTGTAGTTTTTTCACAATGCTGCTATTGGTCTTGCACGCTTGCTTTGAGTTTATATTGCACTCTGCTAGTCCACTCTAACATGGCTGGAAATACTCAGCTACTCTGACAAAGTCTCTGTAAATCACATGCTTTCCTCTTTATTTTTAAGCAGCAATAACACTTTTTTTTCTACTTCAGAAAAATTAAATATGGGACTGGCAAGATGGCTGAGTAGGTAGAGATGTCTGCTGTCAAGACTTCCTGGAACCCCTGTCGGGGAAGGAGAGAAAAGATTGCTGCAGGTTCTGGTTGTCCTCAGATCTCCACACATGCCCTTGGCCTCCACACACACACACACACACACACACACACACACACACACACACACACAAGATCAAATATGCACAATAAATAAATAAATAAAAACACAGTTCTAGGGGTCAAGGAGATGGCTCAATGGTTAAGAGCACTGACTGCTGTTCCATGGGACCTGGGTTTGATTCTCAGCACCCATATGATATCTCATTACTGTCTGTACTCCAGTCTGAACGGATCTGACACGCTCTTCGGGCTACCAAAGAGATAGGGCATGTAAGTGGTTCAGACCATATAGGCAAAATGCCCACACATAAAACAAAAATAAATTAAAAACTTTCTAAAAACAAACACCTATGATTCTACTTAACATATAAGAGAAATACATATACATATGGTCTTAAAAGCTATAGTCATTGCACTCTCCTGGCAGGGAGGCGGCAATGATCATGAAGGTGGTTTTCTCGGGGAGGCTCATCCATTGCTGTGTGAGCCACCGCATTTCCCCCAAATCTGGGACACTCAGTTGCCTGGTTTGTAATAGCTTTCATTCTCCCCTGAAATATAAAAAGAAAGAAAAGCTATTCCTATCAGTATAAGATCTTACAGTCACGCAAAACTACATTATAAATGATTTAATACTAGAGCTCAAAATGCATGCATAATCTTACAATTGTATTTACACATGAATAATGCAGAATTATAGAAACAGGACCCTGAGTGTATATTGCATCCACAACCACCCTGCCTCCATTAAGCCAAGAGTCTTTCCTTCTCTTCTCCCTCTCCCTCTCATCTCCTTCTTTGGGGACTGGACCGCTAGTCTTTGGGGACTGGGGGCTGACCCGGAATTCCCAATGCAGGATGGCTGACCTTGAACCCACAGAGATTTCCTGCCTCCGTCTCCCAAGCCTTGGGATTAATGGGTACACCACCACACCTGGCTCTAAACCGGTTGTCTTTATCCCAGAGCCCTACCTTTGTACAAAGCCAAAGGCCCAAGCATGCCCAACAGATGAAATCAAGACTCTAGTCGACTTATCCCACCATTAAGAATAAGTATAATGGGGCTGGAGAGATGGCTCAGAGGTTAAGAGCACTGACTGCTCTTTCAGAGGTCCTGAGTTCAATTCCCAGCAACCACATGGTGGCTCACAACCACCCGTAATAAGATCTGGTGCCCTCTTCTGGTGTCCAGATATACATGGAAGAATGTATATCAGCGGAATGTTGTATACATAACAAATAAATAAAATCTTAAAAAAAGAATAAGTATAACTTCTTATTTTACCTTTTAAAAAATATATTTTACCTTTTAAAAAATATAATTCCTTAGCCCGGCGGTGGTGGCACACACCTTTAATCCCAGCACTCGGGAGGCAGAGGCAGAGGCAGGAGAATCTCTGTGAGTTTGAGACCAGCCTAGTCTACAAGAGCTAGTTCCGGGACAGCCTCCAAAGCCACAGGGAAACCCTGTCTCGAAACGCCCCCTTCCAAAAAAATATGATTCGTTTTGTGTTTCAATACAATAGCTTTCACACAGCCTGGTTCCTTGTCAGGATCGATTCTAACAGAGAGAGCACCACACTGCCTTAAGCACGGCTCATTCCCGCCCATATCCAACGCTGTGAACCAATGAAGGGCTGGAACCTATGAGTATGAGCTTCCAAGGTAGCACCTTTAGGTGTTTACATTCACAGTTATTTTAATGTGTGCTGATTCATAAGCTGTAAAATGTAACACAAATCAAAACATTTATTTGAGATGTAGACATTACACTAGGTGGCGCTGTTTGGCCATGTGGCTACTTGGATTGGATTGGATTGTGTTTTTTTTTGTTTCAGTATTCTGAGGCAGGGTCTCTCTGTGCAGCCTTCTGTGAACTACGTCAGCTCTGAAACTTGAGGCACTTCTCCTGGCCTTGTGTCTTGAGTCGGAATTACTGGTGTGAGCCACCACGTCTGCTGTGTAATAGTTCCGTTGGACTTTGCCATATTTCGGCCTTACTTTGCAGACAAAGACAACTTAGTGTTTATGATTTTAAAGTAATCAGCTCTTAATTTAAAAATAGGGGACGGCAGAAGTCTATAAACAGAAAACCCACCCGTAATTCTATGGTGAGGTAGCTTTTGAATTTCATTTTCTATGGTGCGGGAGCCTCTCTGAGCCAAGCCTGGGTCCCACCCTGCCCCCCAATCCCATAATAGTTGCAATCAGATTCACAGTCTCATTGGGCTGTAGTTATTTGTGGCTTTTTTTAAAATTCTGATTCTTCTTCCTCCTCCTGCTATAACCTTTTGCTATTATTATTTTAGTTAGCACAGAGATTGATGGCTTTCATTATGAATCTATCTATCATCTATCTCTATCAATCAATCATCTACCTATCTATCTATCTACCGGTCTAATCACCGTATTTTGTTTGTATTCACCTACCCACATCTTCCGTCTCTTTTCCCTCCCTTGATGTCCATCCTCCCCCAGAAGAGCCCCTTCCTCCTTTATGTCATACCTATAGATACAGATATAGACTCCACAAATAAGAGAAAAACATGTAACATTTTTTTTGACTTCCCCATTTAACTGTCAGGAAAATGCAAATTAAAACTATATTGAGATTTTACCTCACCACAGTCAAAATAAATAAATAACAACAAACACTGCGCTCGCGGGTGTGTGTGTGTGTGTGTGTGTGTGTGTGTGTGTGTGTGTGCAGCAATAGAAACCCCAAGACATTGCCCTTTCCTCCATTCCTTTAGTCCCCCCTCTCTCAAGCAAACATAGGATTCTTCTTAGATGAAAAATTGAGATATCTGTCTTTCCAAGTCTGGCTTATTTCACTTAACATGATGGCCTTCAGTTCTATCCATTTCCCCTGGAAAATCACATATTTCATTCATCATCACAGCTGAATAAAACTCCACTGTATATAAATGCCACATTTTTTCAAACCCTCTGTTGATAGGCACCTGAGCAGATTCCTTTCTTAACTGTTGTGAATAATTCAGCAGTGATCCAATGTAGCTTCTTCCAGGGGTTGTATAGCAAGCAGGCCAATGGGTGATTCTGTTTTCAGCCGCCACACCATTGAGAAACCATACTGCAGCAGCATATACTCCCTTCAGTGTGAATAAGGCACCCTCTTCAGGCAGTATCTGCCAGCATTTGTTATTTGTTTGTCTGACTGGGGTGAGATGAAATCTAAATATAGTTTTAATTTGCATTTTCCTGATGGTTAGGGATGCTGAGCAGTTTCCATGTAATTATTGGACAATCTGGCTGCTCTGTAATCCAGAAACGGCCCTTGTTGATGTTGCCAACAACGTGCAGGCTGCCAAATTCTGTTTCCCTGTCTGTGTCTCATGCTCCTCTCTGTGGCAGAGTTGTCCTGAACCGGTACCAATGAGAACCGGCAGCTAATAGTGTACACTTCTCCCCAGCTGCAGGGGCAGCAGGCACAGTAGCCCGAAATCAGGTAGAGTATTGGGGAGAGTATTTATGCCAGGGAAACCAGCTGTTGCTTCATGTTGGGGCCTTTTTCCTGATGGCCACTTGTTCAGTTTACCTGAAACTGAGGTATGGGGAGCACCATCTTTGCCTCCACAGGTCCTCTGCCATCTCAGAGCCTCTGTATTAGTGGACCCATTGCTTTTTGTTAGCATTCATCTGGAGTCAGTCCTGGGTCTCTCCCCCTCAAGCATTAGCTAGCTTCAAAAACAGTCTTACCAGTTCCCATACATTTAAATGCTGCTGTTACACAGACCACATTCAGATAGGTGTTTCTTTGTCCTGTTACCCTCTCTTGTTACCCCCTGCCCTCTATTTAGACTTCTTCACCACTGAGCTACAAATCTCTCCTGTAAGAGTCTAATATCAAAGCACGAATTTGAACTGTGCCTCTCGAACAGACAATGTGTGGTCAGAGCAGAGTTCCAGACTTGTCTGCATGAAGTGGCCCTTCCCTCTCCACCCCACCACTCTCTGGTTCAGAGAGAACATACCATGCACTCTTTCGGTTGAAGCCAGAACCCAGAGAGTCAGCTGTACTTCTCCTGATCTCTCATCTACTCAAATCAACAACCCTGCCAACTCTACCATGATGCTTTGCTGGAGTTTCTTTCCTGCCAGGTCCTGCCTGTCTTCAGCCCCCATATAAGCATACAGAGACATATATTAATTTATAGACTGTCAGCTGATGGCTAGAGCTTCTTATTAGATAATTCTGTCTTAACCCATTTCCATTAATCTATGTATTTCCACATGATCTTGGCTTACCAGAGAATGCTCAGACATGTTACTCCTTTGGTGGCTACGTGGTGTCTCCTCGAGGTATCTCTCCACCTATCTTTCCCAGAATTCTCCTCGTTTCCTAGCCCTGCCTATCTTCCTGCCTCTACTGGCTGTTGGCCAAACAGTGTTTTATCCATCAACCAATAAGAGAAACATATATAAAGAAGGACATCCCCCATCACTACCTTGATGGGGAATGTACTGTGTATGTTTCTCTTATTGATTGTTAAATAAAATACTATTTGGCCAATGAGACAGCAAGTTAGATGGAACTAGGAGCTAACGAGGAGTCTGGGAAATGTAGTAGAGAAGTGATGATCTAGGCAGGAAGTGACATAGCAAGGAGACTCATATTTACGCGAAGGAGAAACAGGAAGGGTCCCTTTTCCCCTCCGCTCCTGCTTCAGGGGCAAGTTGTGATCCCAGCAAGGAGGGATGCCAACAAGGCATCTGATAAGTCTTATAAAATATATAGATTTATGATAATTAAGACTGAGCTAACAGATGAGGAATCCTAGTCATTGACCAAGCAGCATTGAACCTAATACAAGTTTCTGTGTATTCATTTGGGCCAAACTCGGACAGGCAGCTGGCATAAAGCTCACACGTGGCGGTGGGGCTCAGGCGGCTTTTGGCGGAAAGATTTATCGTCACACTTCCTTAAAATTGTCTTTGACTGTGTGTGTGTGTGTGTGTGTGTGTGTGTGTGCTCGTGCACGCATGCACATCTGTGTATACACATACATTTTCTCCCCATCTCAACATGTGCTTCCATCATTGTTCAATTCAGTTGGTATAAGAGCCCCTAAACCTGTATCTAATCTTTAGTTCTTCTCTCCAGTTCATTCTCCGTGGCGCAATCAACAAGCATGATGTCAATTTGAGTGACATCACACCCCTTCTCTCCTTAAAGACTTCAAGAGGCCTTCAATTTCATGTAGTTTAAGAACTAAATTTTAGGCTTTTGTCTAGTCTTTGATCATCTCTTCAGTTTGAAGGGTGACCTTGAGATTCCTTTGTGTTCTGTTCAAGCCCAGGATGCTGGGTTCTCTAGGCCTTAAGCCTGATGAACTCCTCTCCCCTTCACTAGCTGGGTCTTCTCCTATCTAAAATGAGCTCCTCCTTGGTCTTTCTGTACTTATTTCCTTCCTTTAGTTATCAAAATCAAATTGATTTCGATTATTTATGTTTTTGGAGACAGAGTCTTATCAGTTAGTCCGGGTTGAACTTTAACACACAAAATCTTCCTGCCTCAGCCTCATAGAGTGCTTGGATTATAGTCATATAGCACCCCATCTGCTGTCAGGTAAGTTTAATGTGCTCTTTATATTGTCCTTTATTTGGTTTCCTTGTTTATTTTTTGGTGGAATCAATGAATGTCCATAAATTAGGATTTTCATAATGGCAGTAAGTAGTAAATAAGCATTAAAATTATCTTTGTGTACACACACACTCACACACACAGACACACACACGCACACACTTGTTAGCCTGAGACACAATGTAAGGTAAGTGTTAAATGGTGATTTTTATTAATTGTTACTATTTCTCAGTTTCGTTTAGTTGAATTTTAGCATTCCAGAGCACCTGAGTAAAGACCTTCGTCACAAAGGAGGCAGCACCCTGACACTGTCAGCTCCCTGATCACACATGGGCAGCCCGAGATAAGCAGACATCACCTCACTGGTGTTAAGTCTGTTCTCAAAGAGAGACATCAGCATGGAGGGTCATGGTGATCCTCACAGGTCAGAAGAGAAGAGCACAGAAGAGACCCTGGTTTTCCCCGACAAATCCACACACAGAGCACACTAGGATTGGGGCAGTTTGAGCCGTCAGAGCGATGCCCCCATGACTCTGGTTGGACGCTTCTAAATTTATTTCCTGGTTTGACTCAGAGAGTTCTGCAACTTTAATCTTGCATTAAAATTGCAGCAGCTTGCTTAGATCAGCAGGGAAGTCATGTGTGTGTGTGTGTGTGTGTGTGTGTGTGTGTGTGTGTGTGTGTGTGTGTGTAGAGAGAGGGAAGCGTGGGAACAGGAAAGTGCAGGTGTGTGTGCCCAGGCATGCGTGTGTGTGTGCTCACACAGGGACAGTGAGGTGCAGAGACAGGCCTGGACTCTGTATTTAAAAGCCAGGAGTATGAGATCTGCTGGGCAGCTGACTCTACTGAGAGGTACACAGCCAAGCCCATAGGGAATCTAAGAAACAGGAGTCCCTGCGTCAGATTAAAGCCCTTTAAGGAAAGGTTTTTATTCATTAGAAGTGGCTCTAATGTGCTTAGGGACCAGTGCTTACTTATCATGTGACCTGAAGGATGTCTGTCCAGGGGCCTCCAGACAGTTAGGTCCTTCTAGCTAAATCACCAGGCTGCACCCTCTCTGGTCTCCCAACCTTCCTCCAAGAATTAGAACAAATTTTCTGGAACTGCATGCTCTCTAATCTTTAAGTTTGCATCCAGTCTCATCCAGTGTGACCTTGCCAGGGTAACGGGGACCTCTGGGCATCATTTCACTATGCAGCTCAGAAATGGAGAGGCCAGAAACTCAAGACGAGACCAGAAGCCCAACCAACTCTGTTTTTCTCCTGGAGCCTATGCTCACTCAATTGTTCTAATCAATGCATATGAAAGGATCAGGAGTCCCGCTTTGCTAGAGGCAGCTAAGGAACCAAGACAAAAGAATAATGCAGACTCTGTCTCTGAGACGTCCTTCCTTCCTCCCCTCCTTCCTATCTCTGTTATAGTTCCTCCATGCTCTCCCAGGATAGCAGAGCATATGCACATGTACACTGAGTGTACTTGCCTATTCCTCCGTTCCTTCCTTCCTTCCTTCCTTCCTTCCTTCCTTTCTTCTTTCCTCCCTACTTTACTTCCATCCTTCCTTCTTTCCTTCCTTCCCTTCCCCCTTCTCCTTTTTTATTTTTTCTCTTTCATGACATGTGTGGTTGGTTGGGATTACAGGCATAAGCCACAAACCCATCCATTCAAGAATATTCATTGCAGGATTTCAAGTTACAGTGAAGTTAGAAAAACTTGAATGACTAGTGGATGAAAACTGTGAAGTAGCTCATAATAAATGCTACAGATGACACCGCCCTAGGCAGCACTCAGAGACTCAGATAGCGAGATCCCCAGGATAGATTGGCAAATGAAAATGCTCGCTGTAGAATGAGAGCATGCTATGGAAGAAGCCATGTTTCACTGTCATGTGTCCCACAGTCATGTATCACTGTCATGTGTCCTACAGTCATGTATGACTGGGGATGTGTCCTACAGTCATGTTTCACTGTCATGTGTCCTACAGTCATGTATGACTGTGCATGTGTCCCACAGTCATGTTTCACTGTCATGTATCCTACAGTCATGTTTCACTGTCATGTGTCCTACAGTCATGTATGACTGGGGATGTGTCCTACAGTCATGTTTCACTGTACCTGTATCCTACAGTCATGTTTCACTGTCATGTGTCCTACAGTCATGTATGACTGGGGATGTGTCCTACAGTCATGTTTCACTGTACCTGTATCCTACAGTCATGTTTCACTGTCATGTGTCCTACAGTCATGTATGACTGGGGATGTGTCCTACAGTCATGTTTCACTGTACCTGTATCCTACAGTCATGTTTCACTGTCATGTGTCCTACAGTCATGTATGACTGGGGATGTGTCCTACAGTCATGTTTCACTGTACCTGTATCCTACAGTCATGTTTCACTGTCATGTGTCCTACAGTCATGTATGACTGGGGATGTGTCCTACAGTCATGTTTCACTGTACCTGTATCCTACAGTCATGTTTCACTGTCATGTGTCCTACAGTCATGTATGACTGGGGATGTGTCCTACAGTCATGTTTCACTGTACCTGTATCCTACAGTCATGTTTCACTGTCATGTGTCCTACAGTCATGTATGACTGGGGATGTGTCCTACAGTCATGTTTCACTGTACCTGTATCCTACAGTCATGTTTCACTGTCATGTGTCCTACAGTCATGTATGACTGGGGATGTGTCCTACAGTCATGTTTCACTGTACCTGTATCCTACAGTCATGTATCACTGTACCTGTATCCTACAGTCATGTATACCTGCATATGAATGAGGGAAGCGGTGCAGAAGGATGACTGACAGGCATCATAACACAAAAAATAAAACCCAGAGACTGATATTGGGGTTCAAGCTTCAAGCTGAAGACCAGAGAAGCGAAGCAGCCAAGCTAGTAGCCCTCACCTCTACCCAGCTGAAATGGCAATCCTGCCTCCATGAATCCTCAGAGGCAAAAGCTCTCAGTTCCTGTCTCCTCCTCTTCCTTAGATTCCTTTCTCTGCCCAGCCATATCCTCCTGTCTCCACCTCCCTAATGCTGGGATCAAAGGCGTGAGCTCTGTTATGCTTCACTCTTGTGTGGACGAGGATGGCCTTGAACACAGAGAAATCTGTCTGCCTGTCTCCTGACTCCTGGGATTAAAGGAGTTAATCCTGCCTGACCTCTGTACCTTGTAGCTGGCTGGGTTTGCTTTCTGAATCCTCAGGTAAGCTTTAATAACACACAAATAATATATGACCATAGGTGTAGCTCTCAAACATGCCTCAAAGCCCCGTGAAGGAAAGCTTGGTCCCCAGCTTCAGGTAACTGAGAGTGTACCCCAAAGGGACTGGAATTCTGCTCTCCTTTATTCCTCTTGTTTCTCAGCCATAAGGTAAACAGTTCTACTCTGCCACCCATTGCTGCTAGGACACTTTGCCTGTCACAAGCCCAAACCACTAGGGTCAACTGACCATGGACTGGCTTCTCCAAAGCTGTGAGCCAAAGCAGATGTTTCATCTGTAACACCATTTATGTGTTTGCTATGGGGAGGTGTGGTGGTTTGAAAGAAAATGGCCCCCAAAGGGAGTGGCACTAATGGGAGATGTGGCCTTGTTGGAGGAAGTGTGTCACTCTGGGGTGGGCTTTGAGGTCTCATATATGGTCAAGATACCGACCAGTGTCAGAGACTACTTCCTGCTGCCTGAAAGATGTAGGAACTCTGGGCTACTTGTCCAGCACAATGTCTGC